TCTATAAAATTTATTTTGGGTGTAAATCTTTAAAAAAATGCTTAAAAAGTAATGAGGGAAGAAAGCAGAGATTACATCCATTATGCTTGCCTATGCATACATAATGTTTGTGCCCATTTCCACTATGTGTGTGTTTACAACCAGTTAGTATTGAGTGTGGTGTACACAGAATATCAACTTGACCAACTTACGTTCCAGTTAAAAGAAAAACAAACCCAAATAAAAACAACACCAAAAAACCCAGTCTAGCCAAAAGGCCATAGTCCAGATAGGATTTCTGCATTTGGATAAAAACAGAGACAAAGCAAGGAAGCAATTAAACATATTTCTGAAAAAAACAAACAAAAAATAAACCCTCCGAACATTTCCATGGTAGATTACTTAATCAAGTTAGAGGTTGAAAGAGGAGACTTAAAATGTTTATACCAGGAAATAATTTTTTTATCCATTTATTAAAAGAAAATTAAAATAATATGGCAATATATTCATGTGCTGTCTGTGAGGCAAACAATCATATCAGAACCAACTAATAAATGTATCATAAATATCATACAACAATTCTCCAACAATGATAAGTGATGACAAACGCATATTTTTATTCTCACCTAAGGGATCTAAACTGCACCTGAGGGCTCTGTCGGGAACCTGCCAGGAGCCCCTGGGTATTACTGAATTCTCATAAAACAGAGGAGATTTTGGCTGCTTTCATTCATTTAGAGGTGTTGCCAGCTGAGATTCCAGCTTCCTGTATGTTATGATGCATCTTGATCCAGGTAATAGTACTTCATATTAATATACCTGTGATCTACGTTTCTGCATCATGGACTTATGACATATTTGATTTACATAGATTACTCAGTGTGCTGGTTTGGGCTAGGGTAGAGTCGATTTTCTTCACAATAGCTGGTATGGGACTACAGTTTGGATTTATGCTGAAAACAGTTTTTATAATACAGAGATGTTTACGTTACTGCTGAGCAATGCTTACATAGAGTTAAAGCCTCTTCTGCCTCTCACCACCCCACCAGTGAGTGGGCTGGGGGTGCACCAGCAGCTGGGAGAGTGACACAGCCAGGACAGCTGCCCCCAGCTGAGCAAAGGGATATTCCATACCATATGACGTCATGCTCAGCATATAAAGCTGAGGAAAGAAGAAGGATAGGGGGGATGTTCAGAGTGATGGTGGTTGTCTTCCCAAGTAGCCATTAGGTATGATGGAGCCCGGCTTTCCTGGAGATGGCTAAACAACTGCTTGCTGATGGGAAGTGGTGAATGAATTCCTTGTTTTGCATTGATTGCACGCATGGCTTAAGCTTTACCTATTAAACTGTCTTTATATCAACCCACAAGTTTTCTCACTTTTACCCTTCTGATTCTCTCCTCCATCCCACCGATTCTCTCCCCTATCCCACCAGGGGATAGTGAGCGAGCAGCTGTGTGGTGCTCAGTTGCCAGCTGGGGTTAAACCACAACATGAGGGATATTTCTACTTAAAGATCTTTCTTCTTCGTTTCTAGTTGTTCAGAATGAAAGTAATACATCCTAAGCTGTTTATTCACCCAACATCTTGACAATTCAAATAAAGATACACTGTACTTAGGAATCTTGTTTTAGGAGGTATAATAATTCAGCAGAGAACGAAAATAATTAAGTGAATTAAGGCACAAGAGAAAAAAAAATGGAAATTAAGGTTTATGATACTAAATTTGAAAGATTTTTCCCCATTGTCTTAAATGGTACATGCAAACAAACCGCCATTTTCACAATAGCAAGTTCTATATCAGGAATGATTCTGTTCAAAAAATCAAAAACTCCTTTGCTACTTAACTTGAAGAGTCAATCAGCCCTCTACTACTCTGCCTTATATAAGGGTGTTAGAAAATCAGTACAACAGGAATGTGTTTGCATACCATTTTCTTTGTGGACAAAGGCTCCCTGAGGAGATTCTGGGATACCTTTCCAAATTGTGATTGGTTTGGGATAACCAGGGTCCATGGACCTCATTTCTTCACTGTACCTCCAGTATCTGAAATAAAAAGAAAAAATAAATTTAAAATAAGGGAGAAAAAGGCATTTATAACATAGCAGATGAGTAACTACACATTGTTTTCCTTTTAACATTCGCTACAATTTTAGCCAGAAATGAGAATAATGGATTTCTTTTCTTTTAACATAATACCAGATTACAAATAAATTTATTTGCTGACTGGACAACAATTTCATGTAAGCAGAAAGAAGATAAAAGATTTTTGCACTTTGACAATCAGCATGCATCTTGATTATAATCACAGCGATTCTGATACGTAGGACTTCTGCACAGTGACACTGAGAGATGCAACTTATGCAAAAAAATGCATTAATATTCTAGATAACTTTTTAGTCATGAAAATGACAGTTCATTTAAATACTCCCAGCAATCTTCATTTAACCACTTATATGTATGCATTATAGTAGCTTTTCATTTTGTTACCATTAAACAGATACAGTATAATACAAAATTCAAGCTGCTTTTGTCTCTTTTTGCCAGCCAGCCCTTCTCCAATTTGAAAAGATTCAGCATGCAAATTCTAAGCACTTTGAACATGAAAAAATTTTACCTTGTGATTTTACACTTACAGATAATTACTCAATAATTTATTTGTCCTTATGCAATTGGCTAAATTGCTATTCATATCTTATTATAAGTTGGTTCTAAGAATTACCATACTGTATCTCTAGTATCTCTGTGTATCCTGGTATAATATTTGGGTGGGTTATTTCATATTTTGATTTGCTCCACTCATTTAGAGCATACCAATTTATAGCCTAGTTTTCTTGGAGATTTTTTTTTCAAATCAGTTTTATTCATGTGAAAAATTTCATACAGAGGAAGCCACTCAGCATCAAGAGCTTGAGAATGTATCACTTTCATTGATAATCTGGTCACTGCTAAAACTTGACCCTTCTTCCAATTTGAATTCATTTGACTTCAGCTTTTAGAAATCTTGTTATAATAGTTCCTGATATATTAAATAGCCCTTAAGTGGATGATATTTTGTCCCTGTGAAGGTACTTAGACACTCTAATCAAATCATGTCTTTTTCTTTTTTAAAAACAAAATGGCCTAAACACTTCTGTATTTCTCCCTGTGGGGCATTTCTCTGGCTTTAAACTTCCAATGAAATTAAAATGTGGCAGATTTCAAGTGGGTTAAGAGTTGGCAAGTTACGTTAAAAAACATTTGTATTTATTTTTCTTTCTTATGCATGAATTATTTTTATAGTCTGAATTCTTAATCTAGCCACGTATGCATCAGTAACCAGCCAACAAAGCAATGATCTTTATTTTGAAATGTAACATATTTCAGAGTTTATATGGAGAAAGAAACAACATGCAATAGTAAACAAAGATCTGACATCAATACTGTTGCAACCAGATCCTGCTCATCTTTTGATTCTGCATTTCATCTTTTCTCTTTTCACATTTTCCTGTTCTTTCTTCAGTCTCCCTCTTTGCTGAGCTTAATATTCTATGTTCTAATCTCCATTTCTATCTGCATTTCTTTTTTATCAGCTATCTTACCCTTTTCTCTATCTCTCTTTCTCAGAACCCTATTTCCTTTCTGCATATTTCCACTAATTTTCATTTTTTCTCTTCCAACCTTTTCACTTTTTTAGCTCCTCTTACTAACATCTGAATATACTTTGTCATTACAAAACAAGTCTTTGAGGAAACACCTAGTGAACACTCAGAAGTCCCTCAAATGTTGTTTTTTGTATTGATGAAAAATCCTATGAAAGAAGCACTGCTCATGATATTATCTCAGCAACTGGTGCTGGAATAAGGAGCATGTCTATGGGTAAGGACATGTCCAGTCATACATCTCCTTGGCATGCCAAAGGTTCACAGGCAGGCTCCCCAGTGATGATTTGAGTGATTTAGGCTTTACAAACTATATAAATAGTGTTACTGTATCTCAAAGACTGATAATGAGAGGGGAAAAAAAAATGCAAGCATACTTCGTGCTTTTAGAAAAAGGGAATTTGGAAAACATTTGCTAAAACATATTCTTTGCTGAATCTAATCTTATTTACTTAGTAATATTCTGAAGTATTGGATGAATAAGCTTTATGAAGAAAAAATAAACATTTAAATTCTAAAGTCAAAAAACAGTCACACCAGACAGGAGCACAAGGCCTTGTGTCAAGAAGTGCAGCAAACTGCTATGCTCTTGTCCTACATTACTCAATTCAGGTAGGAGAGGAATGAGAGGGCTAAATGGTTTCTGTAGTCATCTTTTGTCCCCTCTTTAGCTTTCATGCAATTTTTTGGAAGAATTATCTTTATTTTTAAATGGAACATTTAAAATATATTTTAAAAGATCCATACATGAACTCCTTCAGACATTGGAGTATTACAATGCCATTTACTATTTGGACTTTTAAATCTTCTTACTGGTTTGGGTTTTGTGGGTTGGCTTTTGGTTTTTTTTTTTTTTCATTTTATAGCCAATATTTGATGCTTGGTATTCTATCACACTAACTTTTTTATGTATACCACTGTTCTGGGATACTTAGCTCTGTCTCGATACTGCCCTGGAGCTCCTTAACTACAGATTACTGTCAAAACAAAATAAGTATACCCGTAGCTGAGTTATATAAGGAGGAACACTGTTATTTTATACTGATTCCATTTCATTCCTACCTCCTGCCACTAAGCAGCTGCACTTATGTTATACCTTCTTGAGAAAAAGATCCACTCCTATAGTAGACATACAGACTATTAAAACCAGCAGCAGAATTCAACTGTAACTTTAAGAAAAAATTGTGATAAAACCAATACACATTGAGAAGCTTAGTGGTATATGGGTTTATTCCTACTGGTGGTCAGTATCCTGTAACAGCTCTATTATCTCTGCAAGGCTCATGTTGTTCAATCTTCTTCTAACATACTGTATTGCATTTATATCCTGCTGAGTTTCATTGTGCTTGTTAGCTCTAAGTAGCAACTTCTCCGTCAACAGATGTTTTCTCTGATAGTTCTTTTTGTCTTCTGTTATTACCACTAGTGTTTTCAGAAAGTCTTGACAATAAGTGACTGCCTGTGCATGGAAATATAAAAGGACACTGCTGAATAAAGCCTCCAGGAAGTACAGGTCACATAGGATTCCTACTGTACATATTTTCCCAGGAGTGTGGAGGTGGAAAATTATTACCTGAAAATGAACTCTTTTCTTTTTTTTTTTTTAAATCTACTCAACCATGGGAAGCAAATTATTTAGGTGTCTTTCTTCACTGTGGAAACTGATTGGCTGAAATGATTCCTGGTTTTCGAACACCCCAAAAAATTTACTTAGTTATCTACTTTTTTAAAAAAAAGCTTTAACAATATAACTGGTTGTTGCAATCTTCTGTAGTGCCATATTACAGTACTGCTAAAAAATTATCAACTGTAGTATGCTAAACATATTCTATGATATGAATTAATTTCTTAAGTGATCCATGAATGCTATTAGAGTCTCTGAAACCTAAGTACCACATAGTAACAAAAGCAGTCATCATACTTCTAATAATACTACTACAAATGTTACAATTATTAATAAAAAATAATTTGTCTCTGAGCACTCGGAATTTGCATAGGGATACGTCATCAACAAACATAGCAACATCCTGAAAACCTGTAAAATCCATAATTCAGCTAACTTGCAGGGTTTCAAAAATTAATGAGTTCTCTTGACATCTCTATAAAGCAGAATAATAATTTTTCTCTTATTTTTACAGACAGGGAAATGAAGACACACAGACAGTAAGTGACTACTGCAAGTCTTTTTCAGGACCGGAAACTAAGTCAGATTTTATAATTTTGTTTTCTGCTCTTTATTAATCATAAAAATTAGTGTCCCTTCTGAAGGGAACTGTAAGATTTATTTTAAAATAATTCCTAGGGAACTGCTCAAATTGTTCTCTAGCTTCATAGTTTAGCTGTCATTTCCTTTTCTTACCTCATTTTTAAATAGTACCAGAGAAGTCATTTTCACTGACCTTAAGAAGCTTTGGATCATGCCTTGCCTGTTTATATGCTAGGGTTTAGAAATGTGGATAAAAAGGAACAGGTGAGAGTGTACATAACTATATTACTTTGAATATTCATGTTTAAATTTGCCAGTACTGTGACTTGCCTGTTGACTTCTAAAACATAATTTTCCACTGGATATGGATATACTCATTTCAGTATATTCACACAAATAACATTTAGTTTGTAAGAAATGTGAAAACAGTATGGCCCTCTATGCAGGAGGAGTTAATTGCATCCACAGAAAATGAACTGTTTAAGTGGCTCGACTTCTTTTTTTGAGAAACAGAGGAAAAGATTAACATGCTTAGCTGATATCCACCAAATTTCTTCCTTGCAGAACTCCTGTACCAACCTATCTCCTTTGAAGAAGTAGGTTTTCCCAACATCTTCCCACCAAATTGCTGAATCAATGCCATGGGAAGGAATTCCACTTCCAAGTGTTAGCAAATCATGAGGATAACCTGGCTGGAGAGTAGTGTCCTTGAAAACCCAGAACTTGTTACCTGTACAAAAGCATATATATACATATATGTGTGTTAGTCTTCAGTACTCTCAGTATTAATATTAATAAACTCCTAAGAAATACGAAATACTCCCAAAGGGCTATAGTGGTTCTGCCAAACACAACAAAATGAAAGATGTTCTATCACTGCAGATAATGCAAAATTAAATATGCCTTACAAATACCTTGCATTTATAAAGCACCTTTCATTCAATAAGCCTGCAGAATATTGTGATATCAAGTATATAGGGATCAAACCCATGAAATGAATGAAAATGAAGTCATCTCAAGAGGATCTGTGGTTGATAATGTAATACATTTGCAGCAATGCTGCACAACTGATTTACATTTCATGAGGGAAGAGTAAATTTTAAGACAAAACAAGGTAAGAAAACATATAAATAAATAGAGGAATTACTATCCTCACAGACACCGTATACTTTTATTACTCTGTATTCTCTTTCTCCTCAATAAGTTACATTACTATAGAAGGATGTATAAATTATTTCTGAAATGATCATATAATTTAATCTTTATTTATTGTATAGTGGAGCCTAAAGACAGCAAACTGAGGTTCTGAAGTCCCACTGGTTAACACCTTATATTTCTGAAATTAATGAGGGGTTGCCTTTAGTACCAGCGGCAGTAAGATTTAACCTTTGATTGTGGGTGACAAATCATTAAAAACCAATCAGATGACTTATTACACGCTGCTAATACAAGGTAGTTGTACAACTCTATCTGGTGTTAGCACAGTGTCTGCACAAACCACAGGTTACCCAAAATGTCTTAAATATGAATCACATCTTAGTGCCTCCTGGTCAGCAATGCTCAGAGGTTGAACCCCTACTGTTGCAGTTACTACCTAAATATGTTGTCTATATAGGGGTATGCATGTCTACAGAGGCAGCAGTTGCTCCACTGTTTTGTAGTATAACCCACCCTGTACCTGGTTTTGAAGCGGATGCTTCCTGTGCTCTGCCCTGTAACTGGATAGCTTGCCTCACCAGCCTACAACTCACTTCCCAGCTTCAGTTTCCTCTAGCTTCCTAGCAAAGTTCTTCACACTACCACGATTATCTCACCTGGTTCATTATATGATATCAAACCTTTAGTCTAACACTTCCCCCAGTAACTATGTTGTCCTCCATACTCTTTACTAGGGTCTTTTCAACATACTGTGCCTCCTGTCGTATTCTTGCAACTATCTTATCCCTTTTACATTTTTCCTTTCTTCTAATTCCTCTTCAAAATACACTTCTCACCTGTGTCTTTCCAGTAGAGACTTCTCTTTTAAACACAGAAAGCTTTGGCTGAAAAATGGGAATAAAGATCCTCATATGCCCCCTAGAAATAGGGAAAAGGGAGCATAATTTGCATTTTATTAGTTATCTGAAGGCTTTGAGGGCTGTCTTGTCTTTGCATTATGTCAACCATGCCACAGGGACACTTTCTGAGCTATAGACTCCATTGTGTGGGAACCATGTGTTTACTACCTTCATCTGTGTTCCCAAAAAGCATTGCTATTCTTACTAATAAGAACGCGGAAGGAGAAGATACTCTTGGACACCACATAGACCCTTCTGAGTCACATAAAGGTCTAAAGAAGATTCATGAACATGTATATTGGATACTTCACTTTGGTCTAGCCAATATTATTCATGATGATAATATTTTAAACATAAGGGGAAAATTTTGAAAGCATATTTTGCTCAAACACGTTTAGAAAGAGATCCTAGGAGATAAAATCCTGGCTGTTCATATTAGCCACTGTACTTACCTGTACAGATATTCAGGCTCTTAAGAGGTTAAGGCACTTGTGCTGTATAAGTATTTTATAAGGAAATGGAATATTACCCCAAAGTTCTAAGATCAGCTGTATGCCAGAGTCACCAAGAGGGAAAATTTAGAGAGCTGTATTGCAGTTGGCATTATGTTTTAGCTATCCCTCAGTGTATTAAATATTTGGTTTAAAGGGATGTGTTTTATAATCTCCCTGTTTATAATGTAATGATTTAAAGAATGCTTTCATTTTATCACAGTTTTAATTAGAAGAGGGGATATAGTTTCAGTTCCTCCCATGCTGGGTTTCCAGAGTAAATTTTTTATCAGCTTCTTTACAGCTGCTTGTCACCCACTTCCAAGCACAGACAGTACAGATTGCTCAACAGACACATCTTCTCACCCCTGCCAGCTGAAGGAAGAAAGGGTTCAAAGAATGAGTATGTAGAGAGCCATTTAAGTACTGAAAATAAGAGAGACACAGAGATCTATAAAGAACAGTCATGGAAAACTCTCATCTGTGCTGACCTGGGATTAAGGTCTGTGCTAACCTGATATTTACCTTTACTGAGATTCCTTACAAAATTCCCTTATAGGGTTTGATCATTACAGGGGTGAGCATCTTCTGTCACTCACTGCCCCTTCTCCCATGTGGTTTATCCTTTTGCCAGTTCACATGACCAGACACAGAAGGCTTCAGATTGTAATGGCAGTTTGAAACGCAACGATGAGAGAAATCATGCGTTTTGGACCTTACTAGTTGGTACTTATGGTGTGAACAACAGATGGCATCCAGTGAATGATACTGAGCCAGCTCATTTCTGTTTCAGAAGATCATTCAAAATGACAGCTGTTGCACAGCATTGAGAGGCATATGCTGTGATGTATGTAATGCCGTTACCTTTCTCTGTGCCTCACAAGGACTAAAAGTAACAGCAATTGTTAGAAATACATCATTATCAGCCATTCCCAATGAGTCACATTTAGCTATTAACAAGATCAGGTCATACCTAAATAAGGGTTGAGCACACACCATTACAAGAGAAAGCACCACTAAGCCATGTATTCACTGCATGTTCACATATACTGAAATAGAAGGAAAGTGTAGATGTGGGAAAAAAGGACTTAAGAAACTGAATTCTTCTTGACATAATTTCTTACTAAGAAGAAAATTATTTCTCAGTGTGCTGGATCCAGTCAAGAAAGAGTTAACTCCCTTTACCGTGGCTGCTAGGAATCTGTTCCTGGATGCAGAGAGCAGCACTGATAAGTTCTCAGCTGGCACTGGGCAATGCCTGCACCGAATTCAAGGTCTTTCTCCCCTTCTGATCCTGCAGCTGCGTTCCCAGCTCTCGCGGTCTCACTACAGGCAGTGCTGGGACACACAGTTCAGGCACCTGACCCAAACTGACCAAGTATTTCATTCCATAGTACGTCATGCTCGGGGCAGAGGAGAGGAGGGGGTCGGGAGCCATTGCTCTCCCACTTACTCTCTTGCTTGTTCACCCCAGTACACGTGCTAACCCTCACCCTGACCCCTGCGTTAGCTGCTTTGCTAACTCCTGTGCTGGCTCATTCGTGAGGGAGTTGGTGGGTTTGTTTAGTTTTCCTGGTCTTGCTATCGCTGAGAGGGTTCACTTGGGGCCTGCTGCGGTAGCTCTCAGGCTCCGGCCATCAGGCTGCAATCGCTCTTGGGCTCTCTGGCTCTGACTCTCACCACTCCGCATTTTGTTCTGCACTGCTCAGTGGGTGGTGAGAAATTGTATCATATGTTTTATTTCTTTTTCTTAAATTATTTATTATTAGTAGTATTTGCATATATTAATTTAGATTTAATTAGTAAATAGTTCTTATCTCAATGTTACAAGCTTCCTTATTTCTTTTTCCTCCGATTCGTCCCCTCCACTGGAGGAGGGGAGGGGCATTTGTGAGAGCGGCTTCGTGGTATTTTGCTAGCCAGAGTTAAACCACGACACTGGGTAAATAGAGAAAATAAAGTTCAGTGTATTTTATGGAGACAGTAGGGCATTGAGAGCTCTAACATATGTGGGCAAGACTTTTATTGATTCCAACTAGAGGGAACTGTATTTAATATTTGCTTTGGAGACATGTTTAGTCTGCTACAACTGTGTTGACTGTTGACGGGAAGGACTGTATATAAAAAATCCAAATGTTCCATCTGGCTGACAGTTTTGACTTTGGGTTTTTTTTCCTGTTTGTTTCTGTCTTTGTTACAGGGGTTTTAAGCTGGTTTGTTGTTGGTTTAGCAAGGGTTTGTTTTTGTGGTGCGGTTTGTTTTTTTTTTTCTTCTGTTTAGATTCTGTCCCTCAGCTGGAGGAAAGTGGGTGGTTGTTGATCAGAGGATTTCCAGAAAGTCAGAAAAAAATGAGAAGCTCTCAAACAGAGAACTATATATTAGGAGGAGTTAAAGCTGAAAATCAGTGCAAAAGATGCTTGATTATGATGAGAAATAGCTCCTTTTATTTCAAATATATTTCTGTATCTTAAAACATATTAAAAACAAATACTTAAGTCCGTGTGCTTTTCTTTAGCTCACATTTCCTTTCCACTAGTAAATAGTCAATGTACTTTATTCATTTTTATTTTACTGGAAAGAAAGAGTATATGACAAAACTAATCTTGTTATAATTTGAATCTTATAGGTAACTGATGCTTGTTCAGAGTCCTAACCTATGCCCTTGGCAGAAATCTCCACTGTATTTATTTTACGAAGTTGTTTTTTAAGCTCTGGTTGGTAGTTTGTTATTCTCAGAGAGAATAAAGCACCACATGTTTCATGAAGTCTGGCCAACCTTCAGAATGTTTCATCTCTCTGCTTTTAATCCCCAACGTAAGATCTAATACAATAACACTCAGAATGGTAAGGTCACAAGCTGAGAATGAAGCAAGTGATAAAAAAGTCAAAATGTCTTACTTTTTGCAATAATGCTTTTTTTGGAAACAATTGAGAAGGATGAACTGTGACTGCAATTATTTGAAGCCACTCAACATCTCTCCCTGACATTCTAAAAAAATTACTGGAAATAAAGGGTGTCTATTGTTATGCTTCACTTAAAATATTGAACGCCTAACTCCAGATATACTTCAGACTATTTAACTACCTACTGACGACTGCAAACAATTATGCAGTCTTTAGCAACTGCAGTTCTTCCTTTGTATGCTGAATAGTTGTTCTCCTGGGTTGTCAACAACCAAGCGTTCTGTTCATATTATATGCAATTAAGATATGCATGGAGTGCAAGACCTGTGTGGGATATAGCATATAATCACTGTAAGTGTTACAGTGAAGAGACAAATCCCCAAAAATTTTAGGAATTGTATTCATCAAAACCAGTTAAAATTTTAATATTTAATTCTGAAGGTTTTTTTCCTCTAGTTACCCTTGTTCTTAATTTTCATCTTTCAAGCAGGGTCAAGTGTCTTCTTACTAGTACCCCCATATTACTATTCATGATTCCTTCTTTCTCATTCCCTATTTCCCCCATTAAGTTTCTGTCATTTCCCTCTCCATGATCCGACACTATAGTAAACCTATTTTTCAAAATAAAACTGTCAAGCAGTGGGATGAGTGCATCTGAAAGTTATGATGGTGGCACTGGTAGTATGAATTTTACAGCAGCCTTTCTATAGCTACATTTGGTTTACCATAATATTCAACAGCACAGATGGCTTGACAATTTCATTTTTAACACCATATAAATTCCCACAGGTACGTGTAATAAATTTTACTATTCACATTTCCTCATTAAAGAAAGAAAAAAAAAAAAAAGGATCATTCTGGTTCCATCTTCTTACCATTCAGCATGGACACCAGCAGTGAATAATAACAAGAATGTAAACATCTGCTTTTTATAAGCAGCCACCTACCAGATTGCTATGTACTTTATTAGCATTATGAGGCACAAGGAAGCAGGCCAAGTATCTTAAGCAACCTGTAATAAGCAAGCATCACTTTGCATTGTAAGTACACTACTGATAGTTTACAACTGTTTTTTTCTCATGTAAATAAATATTAACAAAAAAAAAGGACATAAAAGTTAAAATGGTAAATCAAACCCAACGAAATTTGAAACCCAAAGAAGACACTTGATCTAACAGTCTTGAACTTGATTCAGCTTGATTATCTATAGACATCTAACACATTATGCATGATGTCACAGGTTCCTCGAGTATTCTCAGGAGAGAAATGTCAAATATATATATAAATATACTGATATATTTTATTAGCGCAAGTTAAGAATAACTGCATTTCTCATAGCAAATACATAAGCTATAAAGACATTCCAATAAATAAGTGTTACATCCTGAGCTGCCAATTTATATCATTTACCTAGGGCTAATATTTAACAACATGGCTCCCACTAAAAATAAATGTTAGTATTTATTAATTTATAGATTTTGCTAATCCATATTTTTATTACTGTAAAGAAGTCTACTAATATCATGAATCCAACTGTATACACAAAAGGAGGAAACAATCTGTTAATTAAAAAAGTAATAAAAATTTATACTTGTTTTACAGTTTCAATCAACTCTTTCAAATTTGATGTTTGCTGCCCTGAAAGACAAGGACTAAAACAAATAAAACAGAGCATAGATTATTGAAAATAAATGAGATTTGTGGATTTCTAAAGAGATAAAAGGAATGTTTCAATCCAGAATGGTTCACGAGTTTTATCCTGAGTGCATCTTAAAATGTCACTGGCCTAACAGAATATTGTTTATACTGAACTTATGATAGTGTAGACATGTAGGGAGAAGCAAGCTGGCAATTAATCACTAGCAATTGCAGATGAGTAAATTGGCTTAGTCCTTTCTTCATCTTCTTCAGCGAGTAGGGATATTTTTTTCACATATATGAAAGCAGGAGTGAAAAAAACAATCAGTCACAGGAGGGCCTGTTTCACCCTAGTAAAAAAGCCTACACAAAGTGAGTGAAAGAGCAACGGAGTTGGAAAGTGTGCCTGGAACCTTCCAGCATCTGCAGAAGAAGCAGTGGCTGTTCTGAAAGGATGGTATTTCTAGACTGACCCATTTCTCCAGCACACACCAGAAATACAAGAATCTATATCTCACAGGACACTGGATGTTACTGGTATCTTGAGAAGAAGTTTTAGAGGCTTTATTTTAAAATCTGCAAGTAAATTCTGTCTTCATTCAAACATCACACTTTCTTGCCATAATGAATGGAGCATCTTAAAATCAAGTTATCTAGAAAATATTTTCCTGAAAGAACAGTGCCATTATTCCTGTCCGAGCTCTCTGATGGCACTCACGCCATCTTTTCTATTTTTTCTCTGAATAATGACTAAATGATAGCTTAGATACATGCTTTCTGAACACATATGCATGTTAGATTTCAGATTTTAAGCTACTTCTAGAACTTAGTGGTTTTGGCCAGTTTTAGATTGGTAAAGCACACTACCTGGATAACATGTTCTACCTGCTCATCATCTTAGCAACAATCAACTTGTCTGTGCCTAGAGCCTGTGGGAGGAAAACATATACTCTTTTCCCAGGAAGAAATGACACAATGATTGTTGCCTACAGTCTATTTATATAGACTTCTCCAATCATGTTCCACATGATTGGAACCAAAATCCTTAATTAAAAGGAATTTTCAAGGACACACATACAGAAGACTCACCTGAACCTATTGATTCTGTGGCAGTGGAAAAACATGAATTACACTGATAGACAAACAGCATCAGGTAGATATCAGAAATCATGAAGAGGAAGTGGCAGATAAACAAAAATTCAGGAAAATCGCACAAGAAAATGCAAGGACTTTTGACTTTGGCAAACAAAAGGACAATACACATGTCACTGGGAAAATAATGAAAGGAACTTTGAATAGAAAGAAGGTGGAAAAATAGCTGCAGCAGAAAATTCAATTATCATATTATATCAGCTAGATAGCAGAAAGCTAGCTGGACTGAAATCAGAGACCATAACCTGGGGATGATAAGGAAGGAAAAGAACAAAATCTTCTGGCTTCTAAAAGCACAGTCTTGCTGCTTCTGCTTGCTTGATTTAATCCTAATTATTGAATTTCCCAGGTAGAAAACAGAGAAGTTCCTCTTCTCCTTTTCTTTGTTATCAATAACCTACAGACTACTGAATCAACTCATTCCTCTAAGGCCTAACAGGAGTCAGTCAGCATTGGGTGAAGAGTTAAATAATGATAAAACACATTGTAAGGGTGAGGAAAAGCCAGCAGATATAAGAATAAGCTTGATCATTTCTGTCTGAAGCTCAGGTAATAGATTCCAGCATTATTAAGGTAGAGGGCTGGAATGCATAGGGTAGTTCCTTTGCTCTGTGTAACAGTGACGAGCAAAGAAATATCTAAGGAAAAATATTTGTATCCTCCCATGGACCCAAACATCAGGCCGAGGGATGGAGATTTGGAGGTGCCTTGATCATGATTCCTGATCTTCTCAAGTTCCCAGAGTTTATGACATGAAATTTATTTTATGACAACAGAATTAAAAGCATACGTAATATTGAAGTCATGTAAATAGAAAGTGTACCATACAAATGTAATTTTCCTTACGATTCACTCAAAAGGTACACAAGTACATAAACTTCATCTTCATTGTACTGTTATGCAATGTTTCTGCATGTTGTTAAACATTTTCCATTTAGCATTCCCAAGATGATAATGTTGCTATAGTGAATGAAATATTTCTATCTCCCTGTTAATGATTCCACTTATATAAATTAATTAATTTTTGATATAACATCTTAAAAAAAAAAAGTACTTTTTTGTGATGAGTTAACAAGGGAATCCCTCATGACACTAAATAGCTGAATAATTTTCACATATCTATTCAGTTTCTTTTCTTCTCCCAAATTATTATGTTATAAAACATACATTACATGGTTTTCACTCTTTTGTTGCTGAATGGATATTCATTTAACATCTAGGATGATTTTCTCATTAGATCTAAATTAGATACATGTTCAGGAACTTTAATTTTGAAGAACGGCTGATGCTTGCAGTGAAACTTTGAAAAGAATTATTAGCAACATTTCAATTCACAAAACATTTTCTGCAGTTTACACTTCTTTAAAAATACTAAATACACATCTATGAAAAAAATATTTACTTTTCCCACCTAAAACTCCAAACATCACAGCTTTCAGATTAAATAAGTACAGTGCAGTACAGTGAGATATATGTAGCACAGATGACACATGTATGTAAATTTAATTTGTAAAAAGGAAAACAAGCACAGAGAACCCCACACACACAAAAAAAGGAACTATGTTCATTCTTGCTTCCTAATCCATATTTTTCAAAAAAGATTTCATAGTATATCACTGCATTGTTATGTCTCTTATTCATAAGACCAAATTTTAACTGAGAATGTAAGAGTAAATGATCTGATACTCTGCAGGATAATCATAAATTAAAGCTGTATTTGCCAAAATAAGAAAACATAACTCATCTACTTTTCATTTAGCTACCAATCTGCAACATGATTTACAAATCAGTAGTAAAAATAAGCAACATATATTCCAAGAAATCATCACAGCTGGAAGTACTTCACAAAATCTTATTTTCTTCTTTTCTTACCTTTAAAGAAGACAAAATTCCCCTCACTGTTTTCATAAACTGCATCAATGCTGGGAGGCAGTCCCCTCCAGAAGTAGGTGATCTGCATGGGGTATCCATCCATCACCCTGTTGTTTCTGACTCGCCAAAACCACTGATCCTGGAAACCAAATATACGTCTCTTACTATGCTTTGAGGCATTTACATGCGTTCAGCTGCTGTCTTGAAAACACTGAATAGACTCTCCTAGCATTTTTAGAGCATGACCTTTTGCTGTTTGCATAACCATATTTGTGTTTGCATTCATGTCACATCCACGCATTACAAATGTGTGGGAACTAGTTGTTCCCTCAGGTGGGAATAAGCTACCCATGTGAACTGTGTGTTTGGTGTAGACAGCCTTCAGCAGAACTTTGAATGTGCTGTATGAGATGATTTAACTTTCTCAACATCATTCCTATATGAGGTACAACTTAAAATTTGTGGACTGACTACAGGTGGTTTTTGAGTGAACCGCATGTGTAAAACCAATACAATGGGACTACAGACAGGCTTTGAAGATAACTAATTCTGCAAGCAGTTTTTATACAGTGGCTGCTAACAGTGAATTGCTGATAGATGTAGCTCTAGCATTACTACATCAGTCCAAGAAGAATTACACTTCGATGATGACTTTACTGTAGTGAAGATTTGCAGTCTTTCCATGTAACCATTCTTTTTAATATCAATATTACAGCCAGTTATAAGTGCTAAATACAGTGTCCTGGTAAACCTCTCCTAGCTTGTTGCCATTTAAAATAGTTTCTCCCTGTGGGATATGCTATTGCTTGAAGTGAGAGTCATACAGAAGGGGCATTGTTGAGGAATGAGAAATATTCAAGTTGAGAAATGAGTATGTGACATATTAGATGAGTGTTGATAAAAATGATGTTGTTGCACCTCTTCAGACCTTATACCAACATTTTCAGTTCATCCAATATTTAGAGATGAAGAATGGGGTAAGCAAGTATTTAACTTTTTACACATACTTGCACATTTTCACAGCATTAATATTATATAAACAAAACCCCCTTAGATAATAAAGAAAGTGCTATTCTGTCAGATATCTGTCACAGTTTTACATGGCAGTTCAGCCTTCTTTCTGTATAGGTCAACTTGCCAAGCAAAAGAGATTTGTGCTCTTATGGGAACTGGCACAGCTTAGACAGAAGATTAATCCTTTGCAGCAGCAGGCTCAGGATGAACTGTATTCATCATCTTTCCAAACCTGAGATCACAGCTCTCTTTAGTTGTTTATCTTTCCAATGACTCAACAATTTATAAATCTCCATAACAAGTATTAGCCATACAAACACAAACCATTTCAATATATATACAAAAATGCTTCTTAATCATGTGCATAAATAAGTCTAAAACTGAAAGAGTTGCTTTGAGTCCCAGACTTCTCAGGACTTTAATGTTAAAAAAAAGTTCAAGTACCTTAACCTGAAAAACATTATACTGAAAAGTTGCAATTGTGTAGAAATAATACTACTAAAATCCCTCATATTTGCTCATGTTTAGCTATTTCATTGCTAGTGTAACACAGCTGCATTATAGTCATCTGATTAGATTCCTATTTTAAGCTTTTTTTTGTTTGGTTGGTCTGGGGTTTTTTTATTATTTTAAAATGTATTATAACATTTAAGGAAGGTCAGCAAAGCAATTTTTTTTTAGGATTAATTGACCAAATTCCAGTAAGAGAACTGTCAAAAATAGGGGAATACAACTTAGAGATACCAGTATTTTAGGAAGGTTTAACTTCAGCATGTGTTTTGAATGCTGAAAAAGATAATGCCAACTTCTGTCATTTTTTTATTATAACATGTAAATAAGAGGGCTTTGAAAAATTAAGATTAGGGGGAATATCTTCAAAGCCGACATTTGGAAGTACTTTTTCATTGCAACTGATAAATAATTGAAATGGATTTTCAGGTCAGATTTTTAGACATTATCAATCTAGGAATGACTTAGGGAGGAATGACGTAATGATGAGTCTCAATAGGCCAAACAGTTCTTTGTCCCTAAATTTCTATGAAAGCCTTAAAAGTCAGGCAGTATCTCAGATACCAGTTATTACAGTTTAAAAAAAGGACAAACAAGTAGCAAGCACAACGGAATATTCCGGTCTTGTCTTTCTGCATTCCAAGACAGAGATAACCCTTTATATTTGTCTGAATTTGATTGCAAAAGCACATCTAGAAAACAATGCTTAGTTGCAGAAAGGAACATATTCAGCTCTCATAAAATGTCCACCAGCTCAGAAGGACATTGACCAAGTTGCAGGTACAAAATATGCAAGATATTTAAAGCTGAACAAAGGCTAACTACTTAGCTGAATACGAAAAGACATTTGTTCAAATGGTTGTGTGTGTACATATGGTTATAAATGAAGTATTCAGGCTTTCAGGAGTTTCCCAATCCAGTGGGCATACTCTGGAAAGCCTGGACATCAGTGCTATAGACAAAACTTGTAACATTCTAGGTTGGCTAAGGAATCTCAACTTTCAGCTAGTACACAGAAGCAGATCTTGCAAATCACATTAATGTGTTACAAGGATTTCTGTAGTTCTAACATCAGGATTGATCTGCTTTTGATGAGACGTAAAGTACATTGTTAAATATTCAATCAAGTCAATTGACTGTTTGTTTTCTTAAAAAAATAACAAAAAAAAACCCATCCCGAACTTTAAATAGTAATGGCTATATTCAGTAGTTCATGAATTTCCAAGCGTTGAGATAGATGTGGCTGGAGTAGCAAGCACTCATGTTAGTTCAGTCAGTACTGCACTGCTGATTAGTTAGTACTAACCCATCACAGTGATTTCTGGTATAATATCGAAGTGTCAATGGAATGAAGTCAGTGAAGAGACTAAACATGCCTTCTTGAAAGAAACCGACTCTAATGCACAGAGATTTCACAGCGCAACAAAGTCTTAAAATCAACAAAAAGCTTCTTCCCAAAAAAGATATTTCAGCATTAGTGATTTGTAGATTATATTTGCATGAACTCATTTTGATAACAAGATCAATAAAACTATATTCTGCAGATTTGGTATTGAGTTGTATGTCAAATTATGTATCTCGTATTTAATATTAGTCATTTGCAGCATAATAGTGAGATTATTCTTACTTATTTTTTGCTCAAATTCCTTAGCATACCAATGATGCGACCCTGCTATACCACAATTAAAATCTTCACAATACAACAATTAATGGCAAAGCTGGAAATTTTCATTCATGAAGCATAGCCCCGTGGGGTTTTTTTTAAACAAATAATAATACAAGTGTGTATATATGGTAATGTCAATACTATGTATCCATAAAGTTTCAACAAGAAATAACTCAATGTATCTGACAAAAAATTAATTCAGTGGGGTCTTACTGTGTATACACATCCATCCTGGATTGGGACAGGTCTTTTCACCTGAGACTGATTATAGAAGATCCTCACACCATCCTACAGTCATTTTAGAGATATTTCCAATAGAAAAGGTACCATGACAAATCATGAATCTTAAAGATCTCTTTTTAACATGTACCTCGTTACTTCCCAAATTCTACAAAGAAGCGAAAATACTACTTCTGTAGCTAGATCAGTGTCCTGTGAGTTACATAAATCTGGTCAAATAAATTCTATTTATATGTCTACAATGTAGGAAAAAAAAAAAATCCCCAAAACATTTAGAAATTAATCACTGAACATAAACTATAACGGTCCTTCGCAGAAACATTTAAACATTACAGTAATTACAAAGGGAATCTAGAAGTCTGACTCTTGTTTAGATGTCTGCAAAGTACAAAGTGGATATGTAAATGCAAGTGAGAGAAATCCCATCCATTCTTGAATTTTCATCTCTTTGGTTCAACTTATCATTATGCAAAGAACATAAAATCATAAGGATGACCACACAGGGCCAGATCAGGGTTCATCTAGGCCTGTATCGTATCTCCAGTGGAGGCACTATCAAACTAACAGATAAAACTTCAGCCCTGAAGTGGTCAGGCAGTTGGACTAGATGATCGTTGCAGATCCCTTTTAACTGCACTACTCTCTACAACAATAAAATCAAAGGGAACATGCAATAACACCTCTCTGATACACTCATTGCTTATGATTCAGGGACCTCCTAAACCAAAGGCAATAATTTTGTAATTAATAGCACTTGATGGACTTTTACTCCCTTGGCCTCCTTCCTAAACACACGCAAACGTAGAGCATCCACAGCTATCTGCAGAAATAAGTATGACAATTTAACAGTGTGAAAAGTCATAAGTAATCCTTTACAGTCACAGCTGCTCACTGGTGTTCAGGACTCATTCACCTTTCCTTTTTATCACTAAGAAGAGTTGCACTTCGACTGCAAGATCTAACCAGATATCTTTGTCGTTTCATAGTAAAACAACCTTGTACACCAGATCCTTCTGCTCATTTTCAGGGAACCTTTCTATATTCTATCACATCTGACCAAGAATAAAGGATCTATGGCTTGAAATAAGATCTTTCTGTGACATTGCCTTCAATGTCCAGATATTCAGTTCTGAAGCATAACTGTGAACATACACCATGCTCTCTTTTACTGATGGAATCTCATAAACTCCTTATTCTCCTATTCTATTTTCAGTAGACATACATGCTAGTTCAATACTCATGAGCAATGGGATATAACTCATCAGTAAGGACCCTACAGGTTTCCACAGAACTAAAATTTGGAAAATTTATAATTTAAGCAATTATATGATCTTATTTAAACAGACAGAAGGCGGCACATGATTTGACAACAGATGTATTTTTAGGGATAACCAAACCAATGAGACTACCCAGAAACATCTGAGAGAAAAACTGGAAGTTTGGATCATTATTACGACTGGGCAATGTAGGCGTTGGCACAGGTTGACAGAATAATTTGTTTATGTAAATCTAATTTTCTGGCTAACTTTTCTATGAACATACTGGACTCTAAGGTTTTAAAGTGCCAGAGGTCAAACTCTGGAACTCAAGTTAAGAAACCCTAGCATGTGGCTATAAAGCATGCCAAGGATCTGTCTGAGGTATCAGATGGGATAAGC